TAACTGGTTTACCAAATACAGCTTTAACGTCCTAGTTGTGTAGAGGATTTGGTATGAATCCAACAATATTTCCTGCTGATTTTAACTGGTTTACCAAATACAGCTTTAACGTCCTAGTTGTGTAGAGGATTTGGTATGAATCCAACAATATTTCCTGCTGATTTTAACTGGTTTATCAAATACAGCTTTAACTTCCTAGTTGTGTAGAGCCTTTGGTATGAATCCAACAATATTTCCTGCTGATTTTATCTGGTTTATCAAATACAGCTTTAACTTCCTAGTTGTGTAGAGGCTTTGGTATGAATCCAACAATATTTCCTACTGATTTTAACTGGTTTATCAAATACAGCTTTAACTTCCTAGTTGTGTAGAGGCTTTGGTATGAATCCGGAAGTTAAAGCTGTATTTGATAAACCAGTTAAAATCAGCAGGAAATATTGTTTAGTTGTGTAGAGGCTTTGGTATGAATCCAACAATATTTCCTTGTCACCAAAGCAATACATCTACATTTCTGGTAAGAATCACACTTACATATCGCAAACAGTTGTTGTTCTAGAGACACCACCGGTGAACCTTGGATCATCAAGAAGTATAGTCCTTTGAGCAAGCAGGCCTTCTCTCTTGTGCATCTAAATTAACAGTTGGTTTTCCAAGAAAGTTCGTCGTATGATCTTTGTGACTCTCAACATCTTTATTCATAGCAAATAGAATTTAGATCTTCAAAACTTGTATGTTGTTTTTAGTCTCAGGTGCTGTCCATATTCTGTTTAGAAGAACATCAGAAGGTTGATCTTCTTTCTGGCACATGATCTGGTGAAGTCCTGTGATTTTGAAGTGTTCTTTTCAGATGGATCCTGATAACCATTCAGAGTTATTAGTTAACAGGTTGAAGATAAAAGATAGACAAATAGAAGGAAGATTGTGAAAGTCACCAAATGTGACAAATATATACACACTTCTGAATGTTTCATGTATTGACCATTTATGAATGTTTTTTTGGCATACCACTCTCAACCAATGAAACAATAATGAATATCTTTAAATGTATAAGCCTCATTCTGAGGGTATTAGATTTGTCATCTAACAACTTCACATGTGTTTCAACTTCTTTTGGAAGTAGCAAAGCTGTATGAATAGTTATGGCTTCAATGTTTGAAGCAGTATGAGGATGTGTTCTCTGGCTTTCCTGATGCTGATAATTTTCTATATGGCTTTTACGTCTGGTTACAGAAATATATCCTAGATGAGGCTTTTTTTATATCCATTGATGATTTTTAACACCAATTTGGAAATATCAATATATATATTCATGTTAAGAGAGTGGATACGATGCCTATACTCCAAGTGGTTACAAGCTGTGAAGTCAGCTCGGTTTGTATAAATCTGTGTGTTTAGTGGTGGATATGATTCCTATACTCCAAGTGGTTACAAGCTGTGAAGTCAGCTCGGTTTGTATAAATCTGTGTGTTTAGTGGTGGATATGATTCCTATACTCCAAGTGATTACAAGCTGTGAATTCAGCTCGGTTTGTATAAATCTGTGTGTTTTGTGGACATTCATCATCTGGTGTGTCAAACTTAAAATTTGTATTTAACTCTAAGCCTACTGGAAAAAGGAAATTATTTTTTTTTAAATTATTTTTGGCATTTCTTTGAAAATTTTTCACATACTTAAAATTTCCATTATATTTGGATCCATTTTTAAACCACGCACACAGTTTTCATGAGAAAATAGGTTTTAGGAAAAAATGGGGAAGAACCACATCTAACTTTAAAGTGTAAAAACAAAATTATTTACTTTGTAATGCAGTATTTAATTCTTGAATAGAATGGAATTAGATGTCTTGTTTGAATGTTGAATCCAGAGATTCAGAATATTCAGTTTTTCAAAGATGAATTCTAATTCATGTGGAATTCAGTTATCATTTCTTCAGCATGATACAGTTGCTCTGTGATTATGTAAATAATTTAGCAAATGTATAAAATTCATGTTCATTTTTTGTTTGTTTTTTCTGAAGTATGTCCAAACCTTTGAAAAGAAGTTTTTATGGTGTGCCTATTGGGTAGGATTAGGGGTGTTATCATCCGTTGGACTGGGCACTGGACTTCATACATTTCTCTTATATCTGGTAAGAATTTTGAAATTATCCATTGGGAATTTCAAGAGAAATAATTAGTGTAAGAAGACTACTTCACAGGAATGAAATATTAAATAACTTTGTCTTTTTACTGAACTTTAAGAATATATAAGTCATGCCCTAGATGGATTTTGAAAAACAATTATAAAAAAAGTAATTACTTTTTTGTGTATTAAAGTAAATCAGTTAGTAATTCATAGATTTACTTTTGTTTTACATAATCCCCATGGGGCACAACTTTTGTAGCACATTGTATAATGTTTAATGGATATTTAAGCAGAATCGTGCTGTGACAGAGGAGATGAAGTGATACAAGTTGTAAGCTGTATGATTTGACGAAGAGTGCTAGCTTGAAAACATCATCTTTTTCAAATAAAAGTATTAAAAAAATTGCCGATTGTTTAATCTATTCTTTAATTTTGTAAAGTAATGAAACCAATCCTGGATAATAAACTGACTAGATGTTCCTTTATGTCATAAATTAATGCACTAAAGATTTAATCCTATAATGATTAGGGTGCATTGAATCTTAAGAAATGTAAAAATGAATTTAAAGAAAATTGAAATTATTTTCAACATTACTTTTACATCCAGTACTATTAATGAAAGTGACTATAAAATGAAGTATACACAAGACTCATAAAAAAAAATAATAAATAAATAAAATTAGTTGTTAACTAATCAATATGGAAAACAATTTCTGTTACTAATTTTCTGGAAAAACATGACACAAGTAAAGGAAATATCTCCTAAACAACAGTGAGTGACCAGTGAAAACTGATATCTTGACCACAAATTTAGATGCAATATTAGCATTTTAATAACTGGTTGATTTTTAGCTCAATGATTTGAATATATTTATTAATGAACCTCATGTACAAGCTAGAATCCAAGTTAAAATACACAAACAAACAACATTTTATCATACACGATTAAAATCTTTATTTTAACCGATCAGCGGTTGTGAAAGTCACTTCATGTTTCAGCATGGTTTCACGTCTTCTTCAGGAGTGTGAAAAACAGTTAATGTGTGCTATATAAGTACAAAAGGCATGGTCAATTCTCGGTATCCGTTGCTCGGTCTTCTGGAAACGATAGTCGATACGACTTCCTTTGATGTTACATTTCACTTGATGTATTTCGGTATAATACCATTTCTTGTACATTTCACAAGGAAATTTAGTTGAAGTAGTTGTTTCTTCAATTTGCAACTCTGTTTTTAAAATGCCCTTCATAAAATTCTTGTTGGTAGATTCTTAATATTTTAGTTTTTTTAATGAGGATTGTAGAACTTGTCTTGTAGTTCCTAACTTTTTATTTTAAGTAACACCAAATATATGTTTGTATGTTGTTACATAATTTTTTTATAGATACCTGATTTTGTCTGTATGACAGAGTTTTTTTTATAGTGTTTACAACATTCCTAGGATTATGAACCGTGCCCAATAAACAGTTGTTGTCACGTGCTAGCTAATTTTAGATAAAAAATTAGTTTTGTTCACGAAAATACTAAGAAAAAGTTTTGAAAATAGGAATACTTAAGATAAAACTAAATATCTGATTGGTTCAATTATAGACCCATATTTATAATGGTACACATTTTGTCCACAAGGGTCCACATATAGCAGCCGTTACCCTAGCAGCCTATGAGTGTGAAAGTCTTGATTTTCCAGAACCTCCATATCCTGATGAGTAAGTATTTTTTTAAAGATATATATGTGTCAAAGATATCATTGAAAAGATTTGGTATTTTACTTTTAAACTGAGTATTTCATTAAAAAAATACATAAAAAAAATATTTCTCTTTAATTTTTCTCATTGGTGTAACTAAACATTAATTATATTGGATTGACATAAAAGACTTATAACAATGGATGTCAGAAATTACAGTAGACATTCACTGAAGTCAAACGTACTAGGCTTAGCAGTTGTGGTTAAACACGTCTGCAGATTTTTTCTCACAATCTACAACTTATAACTACTTGATAATGGAAATACATCAAGGTACAGAAGAAAACTTGGAGTTAATGTAGAACGAGGAATAACTGGGATTTGATTGGTCGCAATAAAAAAGTTAGCCCTTAAATAATAGTTTCATTGGTTAATATCAGCTAAAGGTAAAAGTTTTGATTGAAGCTATGATTATGGTCTGAAACATGAAGTAATAAAAGTTTATTTATGTAATTTCGTGGATCTTTTTTTACAAGAATTGTTAATTTTAACTTCAGTGAGAGTTAATGTAAAAAAAATTCTATTTTTATCTTTTGATTAATGTAGGATGCATTTTGTATATCCACAAATTTTCTTTAGTGTATAGTGTTTCTTTACTCTTCACATTCCCGAAGATGTTACTGTTTTAAAGTGACATTTTAACATCTTGAGGAGTGAGGATAGTAAGAAAATGCTATGCACTAAAGAAAATTTGTGGATACACAAGATGTGTCCTGAATTAAATGTTAATCAAACAGTGTCACCTTTGCTCTTAAAACTTTTCATTAATGATAAAACTGAAAACCAGTTCTTTCAGATATAGAAATGTAGCTTTTTAAGACGTGAAATCCTTCTAGAAATTTGTCGAGAGAGGAGGTTCCTACATATTTTGACACCTTAAAATGCATTTTTGAATATTTTAAGAACTGTGCATACTTAATCTTTTCCAACTTTCACAGTCTTCTCCTTTTTACGCAACCAATCCCATCAAAACTTGTTTTTAACTGATTTGTTGATATCTTGACTCAGAGCATTCATCAACATTTTGGTTTCTATTTCTAGACATTTTGTTCTTAGAAGATGCTTAATTGGCTGCTTTATTATAAAATACACAAAATGATATTATGTTCCTCGGAACTTTTTTGAGATGCATGGAAATATACAATGTTGAAATGCAATAATCAGCTAAACAGTCACATCGGCAGACAGAATCTGTTGAAACAAAGGTGCAAGAGGTCAGGCTATTGATTTGCTTTAATATCAGCGAAGAGTAGTACATAAAATCTTATAAAGTTTGTGTTATAGTATAAACAATTTTCTCAAACATGAGTGCTACAAAATGCTATTGTTAAAACTATTTTGCTCCCAACAGTTTAGCATAAATGGAATTAATCCTATTTTACACTCATAAATCTAAAAGAGCATAAATTCTAGATATTTAATTTCTCAATATTTAAGAAACTCAGATAATTGGAGTTAATTCTTGCCATAAGCAGGTCAAAGAAACGATGTCACAACTTTTTAAAGGGTTACATTCAAAATTGAATTAAGCTACTTTATTATCATGGTATACAAATATACTTGGCATCAAAGCATAGTTAATAAATCATATATTAATATTATGTATAAGTTTTAAGCTCTTAATTTTATAAGGAAATATTTAAAAAAATTCTTATTCTACCCTAGTTTGAGAATTGTGACATATGCTCTCTAGGTCTTCCCTCTTCTCTAATTTACTTACCATCCCTCCAGAAAGTATGAAATTGAACATAAATTATTCATTATAACATAGTTATTACTCAGGTAAAGGATAATTTTTATAGCCTTCAATATTATTTGTTTAAAGTGCCATAAACTAGAAAATTGGATCCACTTACCATGCCCACTTTTTTCCAAAATTGCCAATAATTCTCTTATGTTAAATACTGTATTATTTATAACCAATAGAAAGCCAAATGGTGTATTATGTTACGTTGTTTTCTGAACAGAGAATTGTCCATTTTGCTTCCAGTTCAAGCTTTATTCCCATGGGAAATACATCGACAAGCTTAGCTGAATATTATTCTGTGTTTATAGGTGCAATATTTAATTAAATAAAAAATTATTGACTGTAGTAGTACCATTAGTATACACACACACACACACACACACACACACATACACACAAATATATAGAATAAGGTTAAGTTTTGTTGACAGTCAACAGACCCAGGTAAGTAATATTTCTTGTTTTTCATCTGTATTCGTTACTTATTATAGCAGTAAATAAAATGTAGAAGTTGGAAACATATTAGGTTAGATCAGGTAAAATAAAGAAAAAATAATAACAGCAAAAAAAATTTTATGTGGTATGCTCGTGAGTTTACTGTGCATTATGTAATTTGCTAGGGTAACATGAGCTACACATTTGCTGAGTGATTTACAACTTGTGTGGTGGGATTATTAGTTAGACATGGTTCAAAGGGAAATAAAATAACATTTAAATAGAAAAGATATATATACTGTTATGAGCTTTAAATGATTTAGGATGAAATGGTTTTTGTTATAATATGAAATTATTCTGGAAAAAAGAAAAGGTAATTTAGATGTAGTTTTATATATATATGGTGGTTACGAGGTTGGTTAATTCGACCGACCTCGTATAGAGTTAGGGTAAAGAAAATAGATAAAATACAAAGTTTTGCTGAAAAAAAAAACATTTGAAATTTATTTAGGGCATTTTAGAGGTGAAGCAAATGAAATTTGACAATTTTCAGATGAAGAAAAGTATTTTTAATTTAACATGAAAATCAATTTGCACTATGAACAGTTAACACTGAATATTCACTGAGAAACTTTTAGTAAAAATACTACATTTAAAATTCTGATTGGTTTGTCTACAAAACACTTAAATGACAGGTTACAGTATGGAAACTAAAGGTCAGTTTGGGGTCACCAATTCGAGTGAATTGACCATGCCTGTGATGAGAGTTAAAATATGCAGTGGTGCAAAATGTGGTTCCCTTTTTCAAGGGAACGAATCTTGTACTGTGAGTGAAATTGACGATATTCTGTTTAGAACACAATGCAATACAATACATCATTTGATGGATGAAAACCTTGACTTTCTATTGGTTATAGGTAATGTATAATGAAACGTAAGAGAGGATGTGGTGGGAGGGATCTGATTTTGTATTGATAGCTCTGTAACCAAACAAAATTGAAGACTATAAAATTATGTTTTGACTGAGCAATAATGATTTTATAGAGAGTATTTTACATTTAATTTCGTACTTTTTCGAGGAGAGATGGATAAAATAGGGATGATGACATGCTAAGGCAAAATGTGTCACGTGGGTCACACTAGTGGAAATTCAAGATTTTTTTTTAAAATTAAAATTTTTTTTGTAGAATTAACAACTTAAAACTTGTATACTATTAAAATATGGATTATTAGCTAAAATTTTATGCTATTATAATTGTATAATGTAAACAAAAAGTACTTTAATTAAATATTTTAATGTAAGACACTAAAACCTTGTGTTATGTGCAGTGAAGGGGTACTCGGGGTGATAGGGTTAATGAATAAAACTATAAAAATGTTGGCTGCAATAAAATAAGGACATTACAAAAAAAAATATGCTTTATTTCCTCTTTTCTGGTGCATTGGATAACTTATCTATTTTTAACTAAATTAAAGGCTTTTTATACAAAATTAAGTGAAAGTCCTATCAGTTTAGGGGATAAAATATGTTGTTTTTTTTTGTCTTACAGAATTATCTGTCCAGATGATGACAGTGGGACCACTTTGGAAATTTCAATTCTTGCTATAATGAGTAAAGTTCGTCTAGAAGCTTTCATGTGGGTCAGTGAAAATCTAACACTAATTCTATTTACCAGTAGCTTTTGTAGGCAGTTAAAGTCATTTGAAAGAGTTGTTTTGTAACTGTATAATCTTTACTTTTATAAAATACTGGATTTTATTGTTGCCGTTAGTTGTTCCTTGATAAGAGAACATGTGATAATTTAAATCATTAAGATGTTTGAAGTTAAAGGTGATTTTGAATGTTTATGTGCGACTTCCCTTATTCAAGAAATCTTGAGACTATAAACTTATCTTGGTTCCATTTCATTGAAAACAGTTTTAAGTAGTTTATAAGTTTCCTATTGATTTCAATTTCAGGGAGCTGGGACTGCACTGGGTGAACTTCCACCATATTTTATGGCAAAAGCAGGTAATTAACCTTCAGATGCCACTTTGTTTGAAGTATATATTGACCTGTTTAACCAAAGACTTAATTAACCTTCAGATGCCACTTTGTTTGAAGTATATATTGACCTGTTTAACCAAAGACTTAATTAACCTTCAGATGCCACTTTATTTAAAGTATATTGACCTGTTTAACCAAAGACTTAATTAACTTTAATTAGATGCCACTTTGTTTAAAGTATATTGACCTGTTTAACCAAAGACTTAATTAACT